CAGTGTGATATAAACACTTTTGGCATCCACCAAAACTCAGGCTATTGAATAATTGTCTCATTTGCAACTCTTTGCAAAATCCTGATCTCATTGCATTATCATACACAATGGACCACCCTCTAGGTATCCTAAAATAATGTACACGACTCATTAGTCTCATCGTAATCTTAGTGCATAACATGAGTATGGGATAGCCTACCTTATAGGTATCCTAAAAGACGGCTCACAAGCCTTATCGCATCCTCGTGCGGACGGACTGCTAGACAAAGCATCCAGACCCGACTCGATGGCCTGTACAAATAGAATATCGATGCACTATCCCATGTAGTACTGAACTGAACTCATCAACGATATCCATCCTATGTAGGAACTGTATAAATCTAGCATATCGACACACTATCTCATATAGTACTAAGATGTGCTCATTAATGATATCCGACATGTATACTACTCCGACTCAAGTATAATCACTCAACACTTGTCAAATCCCCTTTTGGGATACTCACGTGTGTACTACGATACCATTCATGTATTTTCATGTCTATATATATACTATCGTGCGACTCGAACCCTGTGATCGCATCAAAAAAAAGAATGCAACAATATGCTCAGGAAAAGTCTTAGTAGTCGACTACTAACCTTAGTAGTCGACTACACTGAGTCCATCCAGACTCTGTCATGGTAGTGTCAAACTTAGTAGTCGACTAGTAAGCACATTAGTCGACTACACTATATTAGTTTAGTTTTTATAAACCTAAACTGGGCATGAGTACTCGACTACTAAGCTTAGTAGTCGACTGCCCTGTCAAAACATGCATTCTTTCATGCACAAACATGTATATATCAATCACCCAAAACTTATCATGAGATTTAAATACATAATAAAACATATAATATTCATCAAATTTCAAGACCCTATCCTGAACATGAAATAATTTTATTAGTTTGCTCAAATTTGGGTTTAACATACTAATTAACCAAATTTCTCCATTATCTCTTAATTAACTACAAAATTATCAACACAATGATGTTACTACTCATGACCATGAGTGAACTTTCATTTATACATGTTCATATGCCTTAGGTATCACAAACCTAGGGTTTTAGCATAACTAGCTTACAAGAAACCTCAATTAAACAACGAATTAGGGTTTACTCATGAGATAAACATAATTAACAAGTTATAGATAAAATTAACATAAACCCTAATGATCATGATCACGTTTCTATCATCAACATTAAAGATTTAACTTCAGATCTAGCATAGGGTTAAGACTTATCATCAAAAAACAAACTTCAACACCTCGATCAGGTTAAGATTTAGGCATGTGAATACTAATTAAACATCTCAAACTAGTTATTTAACTATGGGAATGAGTTTGTACAAAGATAATCTTTCATCAAAGCGGTGTTGATCTCCTGAACACGTGCACGCAAGATCACTGTTCTCCAAAACGCAAAAAATCTACCTTCCTCTCGACAAACGCCTCAAGAACACATCCAAAACTCACACTTTTAGGGTTAGGGTTGAAGGATGTGAGAGGCTGCTGATATTTCATGTGTAAGGTGAGGAATTAGAGTTTAAAATGAGTATAAACACATAGGTTAACGGTCGGGTTCGAAACAAACAAAATCAGCCCGATACCAAACCTGCACAAACTGAGAAAACTCCCGCTAGTCGACTACTAAGCTCAAATCAAGTTTCTGTAAACTATTTACGAGCTCAGAGTAGTTGACTACTAAGAGCACTAGTCGACTACACTGAGTCTGTTTGCCTGTGTAAACTGATTCATTCTCACACTCGAAAATATGTACGTCGAATTGACCTCAAATCAATTCCTAACATACTCAAACATCAAAAATATGTTATTTATTACAGTATAACATATTAAATGTTACTTATCATAATATACTCAAATTTACATAGTTTTACAATGTGTTACTATTTTTTCCTCTTCATCCCTTTGGATGCACTCTGCAAGTCCAACAGAGCTTTGGTGGAATTATTTGTGCTGCCTTCTCCTCTTTATTTAGAGTGTTCCTTAATCAGTACAAGATCTTGTTATGGTTCATCATTAGGGGTTGAATGAGTGAAATACTCTTGGGCGATGTCTGTAAGAACATGTTGAATGATTTTCCCTATAGTCTCCCTCTCCACCCGCAACTCCTTCATTTCCAATAACGGACTCGTCCGCTGCACCTTCATTCAACACCTTTTTCTTCTTCTCAATGGATTTGACCACTGAATTTGTACCTATATTTCTCTTCACAACTTCAAACTGGAAGCCGTCTTCAAGATTTTCTCCAACGGGAGAAATAATCTTAGAAACCAGGTTGTCTTCAAGATTTTATCCAACGGGAGAAATAATCTTAGAAGCTGGGCCGTCTTCAGATATTATATAGAAAAATGGAACCTAACCCTTATTTGAGAGAGAATGATGAGCGAGAAAAAAAGGAATTTTTTTTCCATGAACGGGAGTAGAAGAAATGGGAAACTGTGTTAGGATTAGAGGTTGCTAAGGTTCACAACAAAACCTTTTCTGGGGGTGGGGGTTTTGGTAGGGGGGGTGAAAAAGAGAGAGAGGCAGCAAGTGCAGTCAAGGTCATTTCGGGGTTTTTTTTGAATTTGCAATGATATGACACTAGGATGTAAACACATTACAAACATGATTTTTGGGGTAAAGGACTTGTTGACTTAGACTTCTGTTTGGTATTGGGGGGTGCAGCGTGTTGGACTTCTTGTTTTGATGATATTTAACAAAGAATTTACCACTAATATTGTTTGTCTAGTATTTGTGTTTTCTTATTTATTATAGACAAACAACGTAGTTGGAGGTTGGATGGATTGCGCCTTAACGATCATATCAAATGGAGGTTGGCGGATTTGTGGAGTGAAGCTACATACAATTAAAGTTAAAGATCAAGTTCAAGCTTCATCCGCAACGTGTACCAAGTTGAGCTACAATGAAGATCAAGATCAAGCTTGGGTAATTTAGTATAGGTTTATATTATGTGTGTTTAATACGTTAAGCTCAATATCTATACACACACATTTTATTGGTTTCTTCGTATATATATATATAGTTATATATATATACATAAGTTTTGGTTTCTATGCATATATATAGTTATATATATACATACATGTGTTTTGAGTTTTTATGATTATATATATGAAATTATATATTTCATATTTTCTATTGTGTTTTTGAAAACATTGCATAGAATATGCAATTTTGTGAAAATATTGTATTCTTAGTTTGTAGACTTCAATATCAGTTTATACATGTTTTACTAAGTCTATAAAAATATTTCACAAAGTTTCAAAAGTTGGTTTATGTCAAAACATCAAAATTCAAGTATATCATATTTTCATGTTTTGGACTATTTTGTAAAATAATGATATTTTTCATTTGGGAGGTCATTTCTGATAACCAGTCGCTGTAGCATGTTTATTATCATGTCTACAATCATTCCCCAAAGTTTTATATTTTTTGGAATTTATTTGATATTTTTAAACAGCATTTTAAAATCAGCAAATCAGTTTTCTGTTATATCAGTTTTCGGGATTGTCCAGAGCTGGTCTTCGTGTTTTTGCTCTCCATCGGTCGACCGACAGAATTTTCGGTCGACCGATAATAGATCCGTTGGGCTTCAACGGCTATTTCTCTAAGCTGTTTGCTGGGGCTGTTTTTGTCTTTTGTTTGGGCTTCTTGACTGAGATTTCAAGTGGGTATATATACCCTATTGCTGCTCTCTTTCAAAGAAGCCAAGAAGTTTTTAACAAGAGTTTTAAAAAGAGTTTAAGCTTGTTTTAAGCTTGTTTAAGGGTTTGGGTTAAAGCTGTTTTGGTTTTCACAAGTGGAGGAGATTATCTTCTTGTTTGGGCTCCAATCTCCATCTCTCCATCTTGTCTTCCATTGAGAAGTTTTCTAAACTCAACTCTAGCTTTCATTTGTTATTTGTTAATTATCAAATTCTATTAAAGCTAGTTTTATATTGAGTTTAGTTTGATTTGATTTACTCTTTGTTTACACACACAACCATTGAGCTTATTGTATTTGCATACATTATATAATTAGGTTGTGGGATAGTGTGACATTGAGTTGAGCCTAATTGAGTTCTCACCTTATTAGAGAGAACAATCATTTGTTATATTGTGCTTATTGAGAAATTCACTTTGTAATACACTTGTACACCAAGAGAGAAGTGTGTGGTGAATCCTAGTTCATATATATTGTTGTATTTCATACTTGCTAGGATAACTTATTAATTAATTTTAATTGGCAGAGTATAAGGGAATATTAGAGAGAAGTAGATGAGTTTTGGATGAGAAAAATAAATAAAAACCCCCTCTATTTATAGAGGCAGCTTCTAGATAAATGACCAAAATACCCTCAAATTTTGACCATTTTGATCGTTTTTTAGGGTATTTTGGTCAAAAGGTAAAAAATGACCGTTTATGACCGTTAAGACAGGGCTGGCCCGACCCGGCCAAAACGGTCACATTTGTGACCGTTAAGGACGGGGCCGGGTTGCCCCGACCCGGCTTTTGTCATCAAACGGTCACTTAAGTGACCGTTTGACCGTTTGGAGCGGGCCGGGCCCGGAACCCTATTTGGTTTACCCGAGCCCGGGCCCAGGACAGGCCCGGAACCCTATTTGGTTTATCCGAGCCCGGGCTGAGCCCCGGCTCGGCTGGGTCAGGGCCGGGCCTAAGGCGGATTGGACACCCCTAGGTGGAAACTAACGAAGACACTAATTTGAAATAAACTTACATGAGCTGGTGGAAGCTAACAGCGACGCTAATTTGAAATAACTTATTCGAATTGAAGGGCTAAATCAACAACTCTACAGTTTGAGAAACTACTTTATAAATATGAAAGATATAAGGGATCAACGTCTAAAGACGCATTAAAATAAGACTCTGTAGATTCAATTTCACCCATCATGCAAACATTCATTAATATATACACATATCCAAAATGAAACGGCGAATCAAAAAGGGTGCGCCTTTTGATTTCATTTCGGACCTAAAATAAATAAATAAATGAAAAAGAAAACAAAAGAATTCGCTTTTCTTCGTTTCTCCGCCCCCTCTCATTAGTTGGGCCATAAAAGGCGAAGACGGTGGGTTCCCGATCTAGGGTTTCCAATTTTAAATTTCAATACCCAGGGTTTTTGAAGCAAAGTGGTGAGCTTCGCTCCGCCAAATCATTTCCTTTTCCCTCACATCCATTGGTTCATCACTTCACTTTGTTCTCTTTGTTTCTCTTCATTCAACAGATCTTGAAGTATTTGGGTGCGATTTAGGGCTTATCTCAAAAATCTCAGCTTCAGCTGGGTTCAATTCTCGTCTCAGGTATTGATGATTTCAATTGAGATGTTTTTGTTGCTTCTTCTTCTTCTTGTAGTGGCAATTTCGTAATTTAGTTGCAGTCTTTTCCCCTCTTTTTGAGAGAGAGAGAGAGAGAGAGAGAGAGAGAGAGAGAGAGAGTGCGTCTTCAACGGAAACGTTCCTACTTTTATTCGCCCCAATCAAATTCCGCTTCGGATGAATAATTGATAAATGCACCTCCATTTATGATAGTCACACTCGCATTATGTTTTTTTTAAATAAATTTTTAATGAATAAATGATAAATAATTCACAGTTGGAGGGCGTCGGAGGAGACTACGTAACCCACACAGATTTCTGCTCGCCAATTGACTTCAACAGCCAGCGCGTTCAACAACTGAAGAAGTAATCGATAAATTCAAGGAATTTATTTTTTTTCTTATTTTTTTCATCAGATTCACTCACTTTTTTCATATACCTCCTCTCTTTTGCCAGCTAGGGTTTCTAACCCAGATCTCAGTTTCAGCTGAGAATCCGCTGCCAATCTTCATCTCAGGTTTTAAATCGTTCTAATCAACATTTCCCCTTTCTTCTATTCAAAAATCCGAAATGGAATTTACTTCACAATTTTTTTTTTCCTTCTAGATCAAATCTGATGCTTAAATGAGCCTCCGGCAGCGTGCAAATCGGGCGGGCCCGGGCCCGGGCCCCCGGCCATGGCCGTGGGCGCCGAATTTGGCGATGATGTCTACAACATAATCCCAATACACAACCTTTTGGCTGAGCACCCGGCGCTCCGATTCCCTGAAGTTCGAGCTGCCATGGCCGCCCTCCGCACCGTTGGCGATCTTCGAAAACCTCCGTTTGTCCGTTGGCATGATGGGCTGGATCTCTTAGATTGGTTGGGCGCATTCTTTGGCTTTCAACGCGACAATGTCAAGAACCAAAGGGAGCATCTTGTGCTTCTCCTTGCCAATGCTCAGATGCGTCTTCAGCCACCCCCTGATAATATTGATGCCCTTGAACCCTCGGTTGTTCGTCGTCTACGAAGGAAATTGCTTCACAATTACACTTCTTGGTGTGCTTATCTTGGTCGGAAGTCGAATTTGTGGGTCTCTGATTCTTCTGCCATCACTCGCCGTTCTTCCCCTGACCCACGTCGTGATTTGTTGTATACTGCTTTGTATCTTCTTATTTGGGGTGAAGCTGGTAATGTGAGGTTTGTTCCGGAATGTCTTTGCTATATTTTTCATCATATGGCTATGGATTTGAATCGTATTCTTGAGGATTATATTGATGATGCTACGGGTCGTCCTGCTCTTCCTGCTATATCTGGTGAGAATGCATTTCTTACTCGTGTTATTACGCCGTTGTATAAAGTGATTCAGGCTGAGGTTGAGTCTAGTCATGGTGGTACTGCTTCTCATACTTCATGGAGGAATTATGATGATATCAATGAGTATTTTTGGAGTAGGAAGTGCTTTGATCGCCTTCGGTGGCCATTTGACCTATCGAAGAACTTCTTTGCTGTTCCCCCCACTAAGAATCGAGTGAAGAAGACTGGGTTTGCTGAGGTGCGATCCTTTGCGCACCTTTTCAGGAGCTTTGATCGGCTATGGATCATGCTTATACTGTATTTCCAGGCTGCTGCCATTGTAGCTTGGCAGGGGAAAACTTATCCTTGGCAAGCACTCCAGAGCCGAGATGTTCAAGTTAGGACACTGACCATTTTTATCACTTGGGCTGGCCTCAGATTTGTCCAAGCTGTGCTTGATTTTGGGACTCAGTACAGTCTTATCCGGAGAGAGACTTCATGGCTTGCTGTCAGAATGGTGTTGAAAATTATTGTTGCTATTGGATGGTCTCTTGCCTTCACTGTCCTTTATGTCCGAGTCTGGGACCAGAAGAATCGAGATCGTCGTTGGTCCTACGCAGCAAACCAGAGAGTGATCAACTACCTCGAGGCTTGTGGTGTGTTTGTGTTTCCTGAGGTTCTAGCTCTTGTCCTGTTCATCATCCCTTGGGTCCGCAATTTCCTCGAGAAGACTAACTGGAGGATCCTCTATGCAATGACGTGGTGGTTTCAGACTCGGACATTTGTTGGACGAGGATTGAGGGAAGGGATTGTAGATAATGTGAAGTATGCTCTATTCTGGGTTTTGCTCCTTGCAGTGAAGTTCATTTTCAGTTACTTCCTTCAGATAAAACCAATGGTTGCACCAACCAAGGCCATATATAATCTTCCCTCTGTTCATATCCAGTGGGCTGAGATCTTCCACCATACTAATCGCTTTGCAGTAGTTGTCTTGTGGCTTCCTGTAGTTCTGATATATCTGATGGACATTCAGATCTGGTATGCGATTTTTTCTTCCTTTGCTGGAGCTTTGGTGGGTCTGTTCTCCCATTTGGGTGAGATTCGGAATGTCCAGCAGCTGAGGCTGAGGTTCCAGTTCTTTGCCAGTGCAATGCAATTTAATATAATGCCTGAGGAGCAGCTGCTTCAGGACCGTGGAACTTTGAAGAGCAAGTTCAATGATGCAATTCTTCGACTTAAGCTTCGTTATGGGCTTGGGAGGCCATATAAGAAGATTGAGTCCAACCAGGCTGCAGCTCATCGGTTTGCCTTGATATGGAATGAAATTATTGAGACTTTTAGGGAGGAGGATATCATCAGCAACCGTGAATTTGAGCTTCTCGAGCTTCCTGCTAGTGCTTGGAACATCCGGGTTATTCGCTGGCCATGTTTATTGCTCTGCAATGAACTGCTGCTTGCTCTTAGTCAGGCAAAGGAGCTTATCGCATCAGATAGGGGGCACTGGAGAAAGATATGCAAAAATGAATACAGGCGATGTGCAGTGATAGAGGCTTACGACAGTATCAAGCACCTATTACTCGAGATTGTCAGGGAAGGAACTGAGGAGCACTCAATCATCACTCAGTTGTTCTCTTCATTTGATGATTCAATGCGGTTGGGAAAGTTTACTGCTGAGTTTAAGATGTCTGTCTTACCTAATATCCATGAAAAGCTGATTACCCTCCTTGACCAACTACTTAAGCCCGAACACGATTTGAATAAGGTAGTTAATGTGCTACAGACCCTTTATGATATTGCTGTCCGAGACTTCCCTACAAATAAGAAGAGCACAGATGAACTAAGACAATTAGGTTTAGCTCCTTTGAGGCTGAATACCACAGGTCTGCTGTTTGAAAGTGCTGTTGAATTGCCCACTCGAGACAATGCATCCTTCTATAGGAATATAAGGCGGCTCCATACAATACTTACTTCGAGGGATTCAATGAACAACGTCCCCAAGAATCTGGAGGCCCGAAGACGTATTGCTTTCTTTAGTAATTCCTTGTTCATGAACATGCCTCGTGCTCCCCAAGTTGAAAAGATGATGTCCTTCAGTGTTCTTACACCGTATTATAATGAAGAAGTTTTGTACAGCAAAGAGCAACTTCGAACAGAGAATGAAGATGGCATATCGATTATATTCTATCTTCAAAAGATTTATGATGATGAATGGGTAAACTTTCTGGAACGGATGAAAGAAAATGGATATGCTAGTGAAGAGCAGGTTTGGGACAAGGGGTCAAGGGAGCTTCGGCTTTGGGCCTCCCTCAGGGGTCAGACCCTTGCTCGAACAGTCAGGGGGATGATGTACTACTATAAAGCTCTCAAGATGCTTGCGTTTCTTGACTCTGCCTCCGAAGTTGACATACGAGATGGATCAATTGAACTTGCATCAGTTGGTTCTTCAAGGATAGATATTGAGGTTGATGGTCTTGGGGACTCTCAGTATCCATCATCACGTAATTTAAGCCGAGCCAGCAGTAGTGTGAGCACATTGTTCAAGGGCCATGAGTATGGGACTGCTCTGATGAAATTTACTTATGTAGTGGCCTGCCAAATATATGGTGCCCAGAAGGCAAAGAAGGATCCCCGTGCTGAAGACATATTGTATCTAATGAAGAACAATGTAGCACTCCGTGTGGCATATGTTGACGAGGTTCACACAGGAAGAGATGAAGTGGAGTACTATTCGGTCCTTGTTAAATATGATCAGCAGTTGCAGAAAGAGGTGGAGATCTACCGGGTCAGGTTGCCTGGACCCTTGAAGCTTGGGGAAGGCAAGCCTGAAAACCAGAACCATGCCTTAATATTTACGAGGGGTGATGCAGTACAGACCATAGACATGAACCAAGACAATTACTTTGAGGAGGCTCTGAAAATGCGGAATCTGTTAGAAGAGTTCAATCATTATTATGGTTCTCGGAAACCAACAATATTAGGAGTAAGGGAACATGTCTTCACTGGTTCTGTCTCTTCCCTTGCTTGGTTCATGTCTGCCCAAGAGATGAGCTTTGTTACTCTTGGACAGCGTGTTCTTGCAAACCCTCTGAAGGTGCGGATGCATTATGGGCATCCTGATGTCTTTGATCGGCTATGGTTTTTGAGCCGAGGTGGTGTTAGTAAGGCTTCCAGGGTGATTAACATCAGTGAAGACATCTTTGCAGGCTTTAATTGTACACTGCGTGGAGGCAATGTGACCCATCATGAGTATATTCAGGTGGGCAAAGGACGAGATGTCGGGCTGAATCAGATAGCTATGTTTGAAGCCAAGGTTGCCAGTGGCAATGGGGAGCAGACTTTAAGCAGGGATGTCTACAGGTTGGGGCATAGGTTGGATTTCTTCCGCATGCTTTCCTTTTTCTACACTACAGTCGGCTTCTACTTCAGTACTATGCTTGTTGTCTTGACCGTCTATGCATTTGCTTGGGGGCGGCTTTACCTGGCTTTAAGTGGGCTTGAGGCATCAATCAAGAATAGTGCCGACTCCACCAATAATGCTGCCCTCGGTACTGTTCTCAACCAGCAGTTCATTATCCAGTTAGGTATTTTCACTGCCTTGCCAATGATAGTTGAAAATTCTCTGGAGCATGGATTTCTTCCTGCTGTATGGGATTTCTTGACAATGCAGCTTCAACTAGCATCGGTCTTCTATACTTTTTCAATGGGAACAAAAACACATTATTTTGGACGGACAATCCTTCACGGGGGAGCAAAATATAGAGCAACTGGCCGTGGTTTTGTTGTGCAGCACAAGAGCTTTGCTGAAAATTATAGACTTTATGCACGTAGCCATTTTATAAAGGCGATAGAGCTTGGGGTTATATTGACTCTTTATGCATCATATGGTGCCATATCCAAGGATACCTTTGTGTATATTGTCATGACTATCTCTTGTTGGTTTCTTGTGGTCTCATGGATCATGGCTCCCTTTGCATTTAATCCCTCAGCTTTCGACTGGTTGAAAACTGTCTATGACTTTGATGACTTTATGAACTGGATCTGGTTTCGCGGTGGCATATTTGCAAAAGCTGATGAAAGTTGGGAAACATGGTGGGAGGAGGAGCAAGCTCATTTGCGAACTACTAATTTTTGGGGAAAATTACTGGAGGTAATACTAGATCTACGGTACTTCATCTTTCAGTATGGGATTGTGTATCGCCTGCATATTGTCCATGGGAGCACAAAATTTTATGTTTATATCGTTTCATGGAGCTATGTGGTTCTTGCCATTGGGATTTTTATGATAATAGGCTATGCTCGGGACAAGTATTCTGCTAAGGAACATATATACTACAGGACTGTCCAGTCTTTCATCATTACTCTTGTGCTATTGGTGATAGTTCTTCTGCTGAAGTTCACAAATTTTCATATTATTGATATATTTACAAGCCTTTTAGCGTTCATTCCCACTGGTTGGGGCCTATTATCCTTGGCCCAAGTTTCCAGACATGTCATAAAACGAAAACCCTATTTGTGGGATATTGTTGTTTCTGTGGCTCGGTTATATGACCTGCTTTTCGGAATAATTGTTATGGCTCCAGTGGCGCTGCTATCCTGGTTGCCTGGTTTCCAGTCAATGCAGACAAGAATTCTGTTCAATGAGGCCTTCAGCCGAGGTCTTCAGATATCACGAATCATTACTGGCAAAAAATTTAACCATGAAATGTAACTTGAGGTATATACTTATCAGTGGTTTTTTTTTAAATGTCTTGCACTTGCTTTTTTTCACTCTATATTTGAATTCATACTATGCGAATGATTCCAATATGGAATATGGGAACATTTTTCAATCGTATCAATTTAAGGCTCTTACCTACCTATAGTTTGAAATTAAGTGGCACGCTGAAGTATCTTAGTTTTCCAAGTTATCTGTTAAGGAGATCTTAAATTGCTTTTGGCCTTCTATACAATATTACTTATCAGTTATCGCATAATGAACCATCTATTTTTCAATGTATTTATACTCTATATGACATGAATGTTTCTCCTCTTGAGTGGAGAGCAAATCTCATTTCCCTTTTTTGCATCGGTGCTAATGGTATGAAAAGTGAGAATACACATCTCCACTTGGTACAACTATATCATATCTGCTATCCAATGGCTAGAGAAGTGGGAGGACCTCCTTTTAGGAGCACATATTAATCTTATTTATATATATATATATATATATATATATATAAATATATATATATATATATATATATTAATAGTATCCAACATGCGGATACTATCAACCCAATTTTAAAAATCGGAATTCAAAAATGAAAATCCGAACCGGTAGATGTGATATACTACACATGAACTAGCTAGAAACAAAATTTTAAATGATTTCAACGTGTTTTGAATTATATATCAAGAGGCAAAAATTAACCAACTTCAGGAAAATTCTAAAAAGTTGATTTTGTCGACATATTTTGCATGGGTTAATGATGATGAAATCCTTTGAAATTTTGTTTCTAGCTAGTTCATGTGTAGTAGATCACATCTACCGGTTCGGATTTTCATTTTTGGGTTCCGATTTTTAAAATTGGGTTGATAGTATCCGCATGTTGGATACTATTAATAGTAGCCCAGCCTCAAATATATATATATATATATATATATATATATATATATAATATATATATATATAATATATATATTATATATATAGTATATATATATATATATATGTGTGTGTGTGTGTGTGTGTGTGTGTGTGTGTGTGTGTGTGTGTTGGGTATGAGTTGGCAGAGCTCGCGGCCATGTGAGCCCCACCCTGATGCGACTAACATGGGGGCTCACATGGCATTGAGTTGGCAACCCATTTTGCAAAATGAGCTGTTAGCTCATTATACAATATAACAATATATATATATATATATATATATATATATATATATATATATATATATATATATATATATATATATATATATATATGAGGAAAATGGAAACCTTGCGTACCAAGTTGCTTAAAGCAACTTGGTAGTGATGTGGCCTAATCTTGCCCCTACATCACACCTCGAAGATAGAGCCTCAACCACCCTCTCACCAACTCCAATGTAGATGTAGGGACAAGATTATGCCATATTCACTACCAAGTTGCTTAGAGCACTTAGTACCAAGTTTTTCATTTTTCTCATATATATATATATATATATATATATATATATATATATATATATATATATATATATAGAAGGAGAGAGAGAGAGAGAGAGAGAGAGCAATACGGGGACAACCTGTTGGTTGACGCGGGGAGTCACTGACCCCTTAAAAAACAATTGTCGACCATCATAATTGATCTACACCAATCCTCATGATCTCCCCTTCCTTAAAAATCCCGTGTATGTGTGTGGAAATGATTCTGTGAAGTGTGTGTGTGTGTGTGAATGGAATTGATATGGCATATTGTTATTTAGTGTATGGGTGGGTATAAAATAGATGCGTCAATGTATATCATGCATTTTACTTGGTTGTATAACAAACTTAGTTATGTCCTAAAAGCACTGAAACCTCTCTCTTGTGTACATCTTTCTACATACACATTATGCATATATGTGTACAGCTACATGAATGGAGTCATAGATACACACTCAAGCCAGCTCTCACACACTAACCCTTAGGTCTCAATGCTCGCGCTTTAAGATGTGTAAATAAGAAAGAGAAATATAGTTACTGGGGTCCACTAACTCAAATATCTCATCTAATCCATTTGATCTGTTTATTAGTGGGAGAATGAATTTGGATTCTCTGCACTACAAAATAGTGAAGAAACCATTAATTTTAAATGTAATCATATATTGTGGATGGATATTTTTATCTTGAGTGGAAAATGAGAATGAGCGTAACACATGGGGGACATGTTAAATGGTAGATTTAGAATAAATCATAATCGTCCATTTAACAACAGATGGTTGTGATCCAACCATCTCACTCTTCTAATTGGTTCCTTCATTTTGTACATGGTACCTAGTTCTGTAAATAAGTTTTTCTTCCTAGTAGAGTCCACAAATTCCTTTAATCTTCCATCTAATTTATTGGATCTGTTAGATAAGAGATTTGGGAAGTCAGTGGATTCCTGCACTTAGTTTTCTATTTATTATTTACAAATCTTGAAGCATGAGCTTACAAATCTAATGTTACCAAACAGGGATTACTTCTCCTATAAGACGAGGATCTCTTATACACACAAATCCCTCCCTCTCTCTTTCACACACACACACACACACACACACACACACACACACTTTCTTTGAGACCCATCTCCAAGGTTTGTACAAACATTTTTGTGGGAAGTAAATTCATTTGAAATAGTGATACGATTTAACGTGTGAGAAATCATTTTTCAAGTCACTTGATTTCTCATTTTTAGACTATTTAATATATGTAGGTAAATCAAGTTGAGCAAAGGATACCATTCATAGGATAATCTGCTGCAAATTTCTTCGGAACCTTAGTTTGAGAACCAATCTCGAAGCTAATGCAACCAAGAAGGTTCCCTAGAGAACATCTAAAATCCATAAGCAAGTTGGAAAGGAAATTGCAGTTTGTAAAGTTCTGCATTTTTAGCTGGGCCGTTCTCACTCTTTCAATTATGTAGATAATGATTGGAAGAAGTGACTATTTGATATGTAGCTTCAACAACCGTGCTAAATGCTGCTAATTATTCTAAGGGATGTCTGGCATTGCACATTGTATGACACATGTTCTTTTATGTTTTGATATTTGGCTATTACACGTTGGTGCAATTCCTTATGACAAGTTAATAGGAATCTTCTTAATGAACAATTTTGTTAGTGTTACTTTCCGTTATTTTCTTTTCTATAGTCATGTAAGGTTTAACAACAGATTTAACTCACTTTTGGAGTATTTCTTGTAGATATTAGAGTTTTAAGCTAGAGAGACAGGAGTGCTACCAGATCTTTTTGTACAGCTAGCATATTTGTCTTTTGGAGTAGTGGATTCTTCACTGGCTTGCTGTCTTCCGCTGGGCTGGACCTTATCCATGTCAAACTCTGCTGGCGGCTATGTATTTCTTAGGGAGCTTGATTCCCTGCGTTCTGATGGGTTGATATTTTCATTAAGTTCGTAGAATTTGAGAGGTAGTGCAGTTGTGAATGCCTTAGCACAATCCTACAATTTCATCTCGATGGATGCCCTTCATCATTTAGTCCCTTTTTGGTTTTATTGTTTTGTTTAAATTTTTGTGGAAAATGCTACTAAACATCTTTGTATGTTCCTAGACCCTGCTTTGGTGACATGTAAATTGCTGTATTTTTGTTTCTAACTTCTTCATGAAATCCCAAAATCGCATGCATCCTATTATGTACTGAAGAAGATGAGAGAGGAATTATCCAGATAGGCCGGTGTCAATAGCTCGATCAGGAACTGTTTCTCTCTCCTAATCTCTGCCACTTGCACCTTAACGAAGACAGGGGGATGCTAATAGCTAACTGGTTTGTTTGCGAAAAATGTTCCTAAGTTTTCCGAATGCTCTTGGTTTTATCTCTGCACTATTCCATCCATGCTCAGGATGTTGGGATGACATTTGAAGTGTCATGTTGATCATAAGCAAAGGGATAGGCGAATGTTGGTGTTAAGTAGAACATTCTCCTTTAAAGCCTCTCGACGAATCTTGCATGTTATGTTAAATTTTGTTCAACACTATCTTCTCTCTACTTTCACTGGTTAATGGCTACATGTTTGGTTTTGAATTCTATATGAACTTACAGAACAGGGAAAAGAAAATGCTAGCCTTGCACAGTTTGAGGTACGTGCTATAAAATTTTCTTGTACTCTGTTGGAAGTATAGATGGGGAGCTTGCAGAATTTTTTTTTTTTTTTTCAGCTAGTATTCAGTTGTTCCTTCACGTTATTGCTAACTTTTAATTATGTTTACCCTTACGGCTGATTTGTTCACAGGTACGAGGGGCAGTTTAATAAAATAAATGGAAATGTTGGTGGCCAAATTCTAATTTTAACTGTTGATCAATTATGAAAGCAACTCGTGTTCCTCAATTGTTCTTGCTACTATTATTTTCTGCAAGTAAAGTCTTATATGAGGTGTTAGGCGACTGAATTTTCCAGTTAACGTAAGCTATGCGTCCATCCATCCAAATTAACAGGTATGAGGTATTAGATAACCGCATATTGTCTTAGAATCAATTATGAAACTCTTAAATATAGCCTCTCTAACAACTAGACCAAAACTCCATAGTTATGGTGATGGTTGACGATTATAATTTCATATTAATTTTAACATGATCCTGCAGGTTGCATCTCCTTTTTAATTTAGTCCCTCTTACCATTACACAAAAAGCTCGATGAGGATCGGAGATTATAGTATAGTTTTATGTTGGTTAGGAGGACTCAATTTAAGATGGTACCAGAACAACCCAGGTTTAAATCCCACCAGCCATGAATTTAAGACGGATTTTGCTTAAAATTAACACCACTATGCGAGTCTAAGTTAGAATCAACTATAATCTTCGACCTTTACCATAACTTCGGAGTTTTTTATATAATGGTAAGAGAGACTAAATTTAAGAGAAACTAACTCCATTTTTTATGTTATCTCCACTTTTTTAGTTAACTATATGTATTTAACACGGTAATAGTCTGTGCTCCTGCCAATAACCTTGTAATAGTCTCCTATGTCCTATGCATTACAAAGGCATAGCAAAGTACATACAGGTTCCGTTTTCCCCTTTAGAATCCACTTTTCAAAACGCGTTGTTTTACAGAAATAAATTTTGGTTGTCAATTTATACATAAACCACTATTAAACAGATTTTTGACGCGATCAATCATCTGGATGCATATTTCAACTAAGTTTTTTTTTTGGGGGGGTAATTGATCCTCTAAAGATATGATCCTTAATAGAGTTTTGATGAGCTCAATATTGAAAAAAAAAGACAAAACTGAAAATTTAGGCTCAGGTGATCGATTCAAAAAAAAAAAATTATATATAGAATTGAAAATTAAAGAATATTTTTTTAGAATTAAAGTTGGGTTCTATGATGAGACCCCGGGGTCCCCCCAAGCGCATAATAAGACAGCATAAATTGACCCAACCCGAGTCAATCACAAAGGACGGAAGCAAAGTCCTGAGCTGGAGTAACTCGTTCCGCGAGCCACCGTACCGCTAACAACTTTCCCCCGTGGGATTGTGGATTGGTGCGAGTCTCCTCGTTTCTCTCTCCCTGCTTAAGTTCACCCAATAAGAAGAGACGTGCTGTTAACGCTCATCTAAAAAAACCCCTTAAATCGAGAAATCTAGGGTTAGGGTTTTGGTGAACCATGTCGACGTCGACGGCCGCGAAGAGGAAGCCGGTGTTCACGAAGGTGGATCAGTTGAAGCCCGGCACCAGCGGCCACACGCTCACCGCGAAGGTCGTGACCTCGAACACGGTGCTTCAAAAGGGGCGGGCCGCGTCTCCTCACCTTCGTCAGACCAAGATCTCTGAGTGCTTGATCGGCGACGAGACCGCCTCCATCGTTTTCACCGCTCGAAATGAGCAAGGTGAGCTTGCATTCCCCCTTTTTCCTTTGGCCCCCCCTCGTCGAAACCCTAGCTCGTGGATCCGAAACCTTTTTTCTGTATGTCGTGAGTAATTTGTTGATACCGACTGAATTTCGTTCTTATTATTGAATTATTAAGTACTTGGTTATCGTAACCCCATTATACCATTGACCATTGTTATTTGTTGGCAGTTTAGGCAAATAAAAGATGTTGAGGTGACTAAATTAATTTACCGTTTATGTTATGATCGGCATTTCCCTTGTTCTGTAGTTGGCTTTAAAGAGTTTTATTGTCCCCCTTTTTTTTAATGCTACTGCTCTTGGTTTTCAGATATAAATCCAATTTCTGTAACATGTTATTGCTCGTAAATACGAAGTGGCCATTTATGTTAACATATTTTCATATGTTCGAAATACTTTTTACGTTTGGACTATGTTACCTGGTACTTCTAATATGGAGTCCTGCCTGCACCCAACACATGTCGTACCCCTACCCGGACCGAATACTTCTTGGGCACTCCTTAAATAAATGTATATATTTATTCAGACCAGTCTTCCATTACACAACTCATGTTTAATTTAAAACACTCATCATACACTTACTTGGATATATATCCTGCACTCCACATCCATTTTTGTAACTTGTGGATAAGGGTTGAGTTCATTTTAGCCTTGAGAACTATGATTTAAAAGGGTCATTTACATAATCTAGCTCAGAACTATGATAATATCCCATGAGTTTCAGTCGTATCCATGTAACCTACCTTGTACAAATTTTTCCATGTCTCGTACCAGCACCCACACCCGCACCCGCATCTATGTTAGTGCCAGTGCCGGCACCAATGCAACTTAGTGTCTAGGTAACATGCCATTTTAGTTGGATCCAGTTTTCTCTATCCCTAACCTTTGAAACTATGGTACTTCTTATTTCGATGTTGCTTTCCTCACATTCTCATATTCCCTAACTTTGCATGATTTTGACTTCACAATGTATTGTAGATACTTGTTGCATATCAAAGGGGCATTGTTTTAAATATCCTTATTAGCCAAGACTTCATCTTCAAAAGGGAAAGGCAAAGGAGTCCAATGCAACAATTGTAAGAAACTTGGCTAAGAGGAGAAGATTTTTTTTTTGTTACAATTTATTCATAAACTGAAAGTGCCTTTTTATAGGCTTACAAAACAACTTAATCACCATAAAAATCTAAACTAATTTCAGATTTATTAGCAACTACTCCACTAACAAAATAACAACCAAAGACCGAAATTTTAGCTAACAAAAAAAACAGAAAAATCAGCAAAATATCAAATCTTTGAATCGGTCTTCAACATTCCCCCTTGATTCAAAGTTTCTTGTCATTCCTCTTGAATCTTCATAGAGCACTTCTCTCCATAATCTTGTAAAGCACTTCTCTTCACTTCATAGAGCACTTCTCTCCATAATCTTGTAAAGCACTTCTCTTCACTTTGTGATGCACTTCTCATCTCTATCTTGTTGATGCGCACTTCTCTTCACTTTGTGATGCACTTCTCATCTCTATCTTGTTGATGCACATAATCACCAACATTCTTTTAAATGAGCATATCTCTCCACAAATATTGATAGAGCACTTGTCTCAATCTTTCCATGGTGCACATCTCACCATTATTCCTAGAATAAAGTTTCTTCTTCAACTGCTTGTGCCATGTTTGCTTATTCTTCAGCATTATATCGGCAATATTTTTGGATATGACCAAATCTCTTGCATTTGTGACATTGATGTTTTCCTTTATGCCAAAAATCCTTCTCCTCATGGCCAAGTTTCTTACAATTGTTGCATTGAACTCCTTTGTCTTTCCTTTTTGAAGATGAAGTCTTGGCTAATAAGGCTTCTACATTTTTTTCATCATGTTCTTCCTCCCTCATTGATCTCCTTTGGTCAACAACACTGAGGGCATTGACTAAATCCACTAGAGTTATTTTGGATAGGTTTTTAGAATCTTCAAGTGAGAAAATTTTAGACTCGTACCTTTCGGGAATAGTCACTAAAATCTTATCAACCACTCTTTCATTTAAAAATGTTTTACCAAGCAATCTAATTTGATTGACAATCGCCATAAGCTTACCGACATTCTCTTTGATGGTCTCACATTTCTTCATCTTTTGCATCTCAATTCACTTTTGAGATTCAGAACTTGCATCAATTTTGTTTGATCGTTGCCCTCGAACTCTTCCTTCAGCATCTCCCACGCCTCCTTAGGTGATTCACAAGTCATTATACTTGTGAAGATTTCGTCCGACACGACTGAATGAATACAAGAGAGGCTTTTGGCTTCTTTGTTTTTTCTTCGTCGTGCTTCTTGATTTGTTTTAGGGTTGGATTTTGTGGAAGAGGGGTCGGCTTATAGTCACTCTCAACAACCACCCATAAACTCAAAGCTTTCAAATGAGATTTCATCTTGATAGCCCAAGATTGATAATTGTCTCCATTGAGGATGGGGTATGGAAGCGAAAAATTGTTGGATGTCATTAAAAACAAAGGTTGATCACTCTATTTTTTTAAATCCTCACAAACCCAAGAAAACTTGTGCTTTGATACCATGTTGGAAAAAAAAAGAAGAGAAGATTTTTTTACCATATAACTCAATATATTGGACGATATGTCCTTTTATAACGTTTTGCATAAGACGAGATGATTTTAATATTATTTACTGTTTTTTGGTAACTTGTGGGCGATATATTAGCTGGTATGTTGGCCGATATATCCTTTATGTAGCTTGTTCATAAAAGAACAATGTTCTGCAATTTTTTAAAAATATTTTTAGCAAAAATTCCATCCTTAGAGTTTTTAGTAAAATTCTAGTATGCTCCTTTCCCCAAATAAGCTTCTACAACTGGTTAGTGATTCTAAGCATATATTATTTACGTTTTCGTATGCTTAGATTTCATTAAGTATGTTTACATTACATCTTAGAACATTATATTACATAGTATATCATGCTATATGACACTCTGATATTTACTACATATCTCAATATTTCCCTGATATCTGTCATCCAAAATGGATTTTGTCTGTATGATATTTCCTCGATATCCGATAGTTAAAACCTTGCGAAGGGGTACATATGTTGACATGGCATAATTGAACATCCCCCTTTATTTAATACATTCACATGCATATTATTCTGTTCAATAGTTTCCAATATGTTGTAGAGTATTTTAAATGCAATAGAACCTAAATGCACTAGTAGCTAATAGTCGGTATTGGCTGTGACCACAGCTAAGTTTGTCTATCTTCCAGCGGGAAAAGCACTGCCAAACTTATTATTATGTTAGTAATTATTTAGACATTCAACTTTCAAAAATTTCTTACAGTTTTCTCCAATAAACTTTCTTATCCTATTAAGTAATATCGTGATTACAGAGTATATATGTCGTGGAAAGATTAATTTGTGATTGTTGTGAGGAGGAATCTGGAAGGTTAGCCCTTGCAACATGGTGTTGGTGATATTTTGTGGACAATCCCTGATTCACTCTTAATAGTTTCAATATCTTTATTGCACTCTTCCGTGATTTGATAATTTCAATTTTATTCTTCTCATAAATTCCTTTTGATGCTCGGCGGACTCTGTGTTATTTGTGTGTTGTGTGTCATCGAAACTGACAAAAGGATATTGTCTAGATATTTTTTATATTTCGTTCAGAATCTTGCCTTTAGTTGCTTCTCCAAGGTTAACAGATCTTGCTCACATGCTTTTTGCTTCTATTTTTATTTGTTGAGAATGATTATTGGCTTTAGCAATCCTAAAACTGGGGGAAAATGTATCTTTTGCTAGTTCTTGCATGGCTATTTTGTCTTTTTGCTTGTTGAATATGATAATCTGGAAAAACACGCTCCTTGGTTGCATGTGATTAGTTGTATGGTGCATTTGTCTACATTCAGTCAGATGATACTAAATGCAACAAGATGTAGATGGAAATATTTCCCTTTTAAACTGAACTAGTACACAATGTTAAATTTCTGGCTAGATTTGACTCATTGTAAAATGCTGAGATCAAATCCGAAACAGTTCAATTGATAACATTTGATATTTCTACTTGCGCTCCTGTATCTCTGCATGCTAAAATGCAATGAAGCAAAGCCCTTCATGCTGAAATGCCATGAAACTTGATGAAGTCTAGCATTATTCTGGCAAAGATTATTACACGTTTACTTTCTTTCTAGTCACATGTGATTTTAGTTTTGCCAAGTGTTTGCGGTTTCTCATAGTTTATGGAGGCTTTTACGTTAGGTACCCAGACATTTATTTCATCATTAGACTACACCATCACTTCTTTATGGATCAAAACCATAGTAATTAGGACATAAAATGTGATCCTTTGTTGATATTGTTTTTATGTACTTGTTGGAAATAATATTGAGCTTTGCGTATTGACAGTTGACTTGATGAAACCTGGTGCCACTGTGATCATCCGTAACGCAAAGATTGATATGTTCAAGGGATCTATGAGGCTGGTTGTTGACAAGTGGGGTCGCATCGAGGTTACTGAGCCTGCTGACTTTACAGTTAAGGAGGACAATAATTTATCACTGGTTGAATATGAGCTGGTTAATGTTCCCGAGGAGTGAGTGGTTTCTGATTGAAACGTTGAATGTTACCATCTTTTGGGGTACTTCTGTTTTTCTGATCAGAGGTATAAAGTTTAATCTGAAACCGTGCTAGCTTTGTTTCATAGATCTGAAGGTAAACATGCTCTTGTTAACAAATTCTGTCTTGACTTGTGGGATTAGTAATGCTGCTGCGCATTTGAGCTATATAAATTGGCTTTAAATCACCTGCTTGCAAATTATGTTCTGTTTCTGTGATGAATGTGGTAATATGATTACTCTTGACTTCCTTTTAAGTAATTATGGGAAAGGTGTAGTTGGTTAAATATTGGCAAGACATTGTAGATTCCAAATTTTTATTTATCTATTGCATGATCTGTTTTATAGAGAACTTGCAACGACCAGCTAAACTCGAGCAGTACTGGCGATTAGTTTATCATTATTATTATATCCATATGGTTCGATGTTCACTTTCATCAATAAGAACCATTATTATTAGTTCATAACCTGAGACTGGGATTTTGTTCCAAACTCCCCCGATACCTCCGTAGCCTTGCTTTCTTGTGGAAATTAAAATTGTTATCTTCCGCTGGGAAATGGGTTTCTAACACTGTAGTATTAATAATGATCCATTAATGGAACTAGGATCGCGTCACCTCAAATACACTGTAGTATTAATACATTTTATTGGTTACTTTGTAACTAATAAGACATACAAGGCTGAGCTTGGTGTCAGCTTTCATGCTTGTAGTGTGATATTCTAACTCCGGAATCAAACAGGATGGGCAGCTCTCCCCGCTAGATATAAAAGGGCAAGGGCCTAGGCCTGTTTAGTTGGCCGAAAAAGTGGAAATAATAATAATAATAATAATAATAATAATAATAAAGATTTTTCTCTCTCACACATAACAGGTGAGAAACCCTAAAGATTTTGGGAAAATTGATGATTTCATTAAGCTCTCCCTATCCCCTATCTCGATCTTTTACTCTTTTGGATGATCG